TCCATATGCTGATTTTTGTTTAAAGGTAAAGCACTGCATGCCATGATTCTCAACATTCTTTGAGGTTTTCTACTAATCAAAAACTTCCCTGAAATTTAGACCAAACAGAAACATAAAGGTTATGCCAGGGCTGGGCCATGGACAACAATTCATGGAACAATTCAGAAAGTAGGAACTAGTACCCAAAATCAATGAGTAACCAGGACTGGAGAGCCAACCAGCTGGCAGAACTATCATCATCATCCAAAAAAAAAGCCAAATGTGAAACACAAAACACATCTGAACTTAGGTCTTCCTTACTGCTCAAAAAAAAAAAAAGCCAAATGTGAAACACAAAACTGCTCAAAGGTCCACTGGGGCAGGAAGCCTGTTGATACTTTTTTCTTCCACTTGAAAAGCCAATGGCTAGAGGTGGAATATGCACATAAGGTCACTCACTAAGAACCTGTAATAACATAGCTTACCATTTGGAGTACTGGTTTCAGCCACATTACTGCACAAGTCCTATGAGGGATTAGAAATCCACATAACTGTCATTCTAAAATTTCCCCTTAGGTAAAAAGCACAAGCAGAAACTGCACATTCTCGAAATCAAGGTGGGATGGATCTGCAACCTCCATAAATACCAGCTGTAATAAAGAGATTAAAAATCCAAAGCAAAACTTACCCTTACAGAAGCCATGCTGATTTGCCCTCAGCAAGGCTTGTTCTCCTATGTGTCGGAAGATTTTATCTTGGATGAGGCTTTCCACCATCTCCCCTGGAACAGACATTAAGCTAACTAGCCTGTAGTTTCCCTCATCCCCATCTCTTTTTAAAGATTGGTGTGACATGTGCCATCTTCCAGTCCCATGGCACTGTGGCCGTTTTAAGGGACAAGTTGTATATTTTAGTTAAAAGATCAGCAACTTCATTCTTCAGTTCCTTAATAACCCTTGGATAGATATACCATCTGGGCCTGGTGACTTGTTGATCTTCAATTTATCAATTAAATCTAAAACATCCCTTCCTTTAACCTGTATCTGATTTAATTCATTAGTCAGGAGGGGCTGTTCAGGCAGCAAAATCTGCCCAAGGTCTTCTGTCGTGAAGACAGATGTGAAGAACGTATGTAATTTCTCTGCAATCTCCAAGTCCCCCTTTCCCTCCTTCACCATCCAGAGGGCCAACCACTACTCTGGCAGATTCCTGCTTCTAACATATATAAAGAAGCTTTTATTATTATTCTTTATATTGCTGGCCATATGTTCCTCAAAGTCTTTCTTTGCCTTCCTTATCATCTTCTTACATTTCTTTTGCACAAATTTGTGTTCCTTTTTATTTTCCTCATTTGGGAAGAATTTCCATTTATCGAAGGACCTCTCCTTGCCCTTTAAAGCCTCCAACTCTGCTTTGGACTTGGACTTAGTTGAGCCCTTCTTTCTTTGCGGTATACACTTCTACTGGGCCTCTGCTTTGTTGTTGTTTAGATATTAAGTCGTGTCCGACTCTTCGTGACCCCATGGACCAGAGCACGCCAGGCCCTCCTGTCTTCCACTGCCTCCCAAAGTTGGGTCAAATTCATGCTGGCAGCTTTGATGACACTGTCCAACCATCTCTACCTCTGTCATCCCCTTCTCCTCTTGCCCTCAGACTTTCCCAACATCAGAGTCTTTTCCAGGGAGTCTTCTCATGAGAAGAGCCTCTAGTACCGTTGTTTTAAACAGGCTCCATGCACTCTGGAGAGATTGGATTCTTTTTCAACTTCTTTCTAACTATTTTCCTCATCTGAAGGAAGTCCACCATTTGGAAATCAAGGATTTTTGTGGCAGATTTGCTTGACATTCTTCCCCCCACCATGTATGATGAAAGAGACTGAAGCATGGTCACTATTCTCTAGCAGATCAGTTACATTCATGTCCCTAACCATGTCTTTAGTACCACACAATATTAAATCCAGAGTCAGCTGTCCTCTGGTGGGCTCCATGACAAGTTGCGCCAAGGCACAGTCATTTAGCATGTCAAGAAATCTGGTCTCTCTTTCTTGACCCGAGCACACATTGATCCGGTTGATGTGAGGATAATTGAGGTCCCCCATGAGTACAATCCTGTCCCTTTTGGACACCTCTCTGATTTGTCTCCTCATTTCAAGCCCCCCCCCTTAAGTTTTTGATTTGGAGGACAATAGCACACCCCCACTATCACATTGCTCCTTGGGCCTGGTAGTTTGACCCACAGTGATTCTATGACAGAGTCAGACCCACCAGCCATCTCCATTCTGCTGGACTCTACTCCTTATTTGACAGAGATGACCACCCCACCTCCAACAGGCCTCTCGCTATCCCTCCTACAGAATTTATACAAGCATGGGTATGTGGTATCCACTGGTACTCCAAATTCCACCAGGTTTCCATTTTGGCCATTATATCAATGTTTTGCCTAGCCAACAAATATTCCAGCTCTCCCATCTTTGCTCGGATGCTTCAGACATTTGCAGAAAAGCACTTGCCTATGGGGTGCCCCAAGAAGTGCTGCTATTTGTTGCTTTTTCCACAGTTTCTCATTCCAGTGGACCAATTATCATGTCCCATCACATTCCCAGTCCTAATTCCTATGCTGTCATCACTTTGTAGTTCTCTACCCTCTCCACCCACATTCCACATGGATGAGGAGCCCCAAACCGGAAGCCACTTGGCTGCTGTCTAGAGATGGGGACAGATATAAAAACGGATCAGTTTTTCTGATAAATATAGCCAATTCATTAAAATATCAGTCGATCCATATTTGTGGGTTCCAGAGACTCCCACGAATATGAAGGGATGGATATTTACCTGTTTTTATTCATAATTTGTATTTAAAAAACTCCAACCCCCCCAATTCTGCCTATTGGCTGCCAATCAATTGATCAGTGGCAGAAAGGCAGACACCACCCCACACAGCCACCCAATACCACAGCCTACCCAATCCCCTTCCTTTCCCTACCTTAGCCCTCCCCACCCCCACCAACAGCCCCTTACCTTAATTGAAGTTGCCGAGGTCTCTTGGCCTAGTCTGAGCCATGGCACGTAAAAAGGGAGATTGGCTGCCCTTTGCGAAAATGGCGGCTGTGGCTTCATTTAGGATAGGGAAGCTGCAGCTGCCATCTTTGCAAAGAGCAGCCTGGATTCCCTTAGCCTGCCTTAATGGAATCCAGGCTGCCCTTTGTAAAGATGACAGCTGCAGCTTCCCTATCCTAAATGAAACCGCAGCAGTCATCTTTGCAAAGGACAGCCAGTTTCCCTTTTTACACTCCATGGCTGTGGAGGCCTGATGGAGACCTTGGCAGCAGCTCTTAAGGTAAGGGGGTGTCGGTGGGAATGGGATGGATGCTAATGTAGGGAAAGGAAGGGGGTGGGTGGGTAGGTTGTGGGGGTGGCTGGCTGTTGGGGGTAGTCATGGCTGCCTATTGGCCTCTGATCAGCAGCTGGTAGGCAGAATGGGCTTCTTTGCTGTGTGGTAAACTCTCCTGGGGGGACCCAATTTGTGGGTGAATAATCCGGATTTCTGATATCCAATCTTCACCAAAATTGGCAGGAATGTTGGGGGAAGGCATAGGAAGCTCTGTTGTGATTGTGGGCTCTCTAAGTACCTGGATGTAGCTTTCCTGTGGGGGTCCTCTTTGTGAGTATATAACTCAGGGGCCCATGATCCAATGTTCACCAAGCATTCAAGACTTGTAGGAAAGTGTCTGAGGAAGCTTCCCTGCCAATTTGGTGTCTCTAGGTGGTTGAGGTCCAGTTTTATAGCCACTTAAAGCAAAGATTGAGCGACAGATTGATTTGTCAATTCGTCAAAGAATATTCGCATATTCGTATCGGTTGATCTATTAACCTTGATGGATCAGGAATCAAAATGGATCACCATTTGTTTTTATTTGTCCCCATCTCTACTCCTGTTGGCTTTCCCCCAGAATTCAGTTTAAAAGCTGCTCTGACACCTTTTTAATGTTGCATGCCAGCAGTCCGGTTCTGTGTTCATTTAAGTGAAATCCGTCCCTCTTGTACAGGCCCGGCTTGTCCAAAAATGTTCCTCAGTGTCTAATGAATCTAAGCCCCTTCCTCTTACACCAGCATCTCATCCACACAGACTCCTGGGCTCTGCTTGCCTAACTGGCCCTGTGCACCGAACAGGTAGCACTTCTGAGAACACTACCTTTGAAGTCCTGACTTTGAGCTTTCTCCCTAACAACCTAAATTTGACCTCCAGGATCTCGCAGCTACATTTCCCCATGATGTTGGTGCTGACATGCACCACCACTGTCACCTTGTCCCCAGCACTCTCTACCCACCTATCCATATGAGATGTGATGTCCGCAGCCTTTGCACCAGGTAGGCAAGTTACTGTGCAGTCCTCACAACCATCACAGCCCCCTCACTCTATGTTCCTGACAATTCAATAGCCCACTACCAGAAGCCCCCTTCCCTCCTCTCCACAAAGAGCATCCTCAGTGCAACTGGATACGGGCCCATCACCTGTAGAAGGGGTTCCCTCTAGGGGATGGTTTTCCTCTTGTTCCCCAGCCCAGAGACTTCCAATCCTAGCAGCTGAGGAGCTGCTGGTCTGTGGGTGGGGCAATGCCTGAAGATCCCTGGAAGTCTTACCATGGTCTCTCTCGCCTCATCTCTGCTTCTCCTGGTCCGCAACCAAGACCTCAAGGGAGCGACCCCATTCCCTAAATGACTGCATGCTGATATTGGTTTAAAGCTTGCCAAGCCTCTTCCCAAGGGACGTGACAGGCAGTATCTGGGGCCCAGGCTTCCTTGGCCTGCTGCTAAACTCACACAGCTACTAAACTAGCTGTGTCTTCTTACCCTGCACTTTGTTGCAGTGCCACACTTTGTTGCCGGAGGCAGTTGCACTCTGAGCAAGGGTACTCGCTAGGAGGCCTGGCTTTTATGCCCTTTCTTAGCTCCTCCCTTTGCCCTTCTGGCTGACTGCAAAAGGCTGAAGAGCCTGCAAGGGGGTGCTCTACAAAGTTAGGAGGATAATGGAGCCCTGATTAGAGTAGCACCTGGTTAATCAAGTTTGCAACTCCTGAAAGGTCAGCTGAGGTAATTCTCTGGGAAGCTGAAGCCCACAGCCTTAACTTCTTAATTCCAACTGATCTTTGTACTGGTCTGTTTTGAAACCTGTGTTTAGACCCCAAGCTGGTCCCCTCCCCTAATTTTAAACTTACTGGCTTTAGAGTTTTAGAACTTTGGCCACAGTGTGTGTTTGTTCTTCTTTAGCACTGATGTAGGAAAAGAAGAAAGCAAAGTAACAAGCCCCCCTCAAGGAGACATTTTGGTTATTCCAGGCCCAAGGAATATTTAATCAGAAAGGTAAGTGGAATATTTGGTTTTTTTTAAGGAAACATTTAATCTTCGGCACTGGTAAATGATTTTTAAAAAATCACCAACAAGAAAATGTGCCTCAATATCCTAGGGGCCATATTGGGGGAAAAGAATGCTGCCCTTGGATTATTCTGTGTGTTCGATACATATATAAACACAGAAAGACACAATGGTATATCTCCTGCCTTTGTGGGGTTTTTAACCCCTTACAAGTGAGGATTTTTGTGAAAAATTCTACTTTGGATAAGCTCAAGTCCCTATACAAATGAATTAAAGAAAAGGATAGCATACTGTAAATCAGTATGTTGTACTCAACGTGAATTGCTCACACATTAGGTGAGCTGAGGAAAATGGCTCACTTAAAAATGGCTAACTAAACTGAACAAGACAAATTATAATTGATTGTATGTACTCTGCAAGAGCAGCTTATTTTGTTTTTCTTACCCAGTACTTCCCCCTTTTCTAAACCCATTAATCACCAAATACTGTCTCAGGTAGATTTAAGAATAAAAATCACTTTCCATTAAAAGGGTAATGTGAACACTTTTCACTCACATGTATCTTCCTTTGTTCCTAACCTCGTTTTAAAAAGAGCAGTATTATAATGAAATGTGAGTGATGATTCGTAGACTGTTGTTTTTTTAAGGCCACAAGTGTTACAAAAGCATTTCTTCTTTTCAGCAGTTTCTCAGCACTTCACAATGAAAAAGATTCAGCAATAAAGATGAAAATAAAAACTGCCCAAAATGGGGAGGAAGACACCACTTCCATACCGTACAAACGACATCTTCCACGTCATCAAACACCTTTCTCTAAGTCTCCCAAGTACAGCTAATGGCTCTCCACATCTCCCAAGAGGAAGGTATTTTACAAATGAACAGTTCTCCTGCACAGGAACTGTCCCAGAATATGTGGGGGAACAAACTCACAACATTCAGTGCTCCACAGCCTGAAGTAGCAGCCTCATTCCACCTAAGGATAGCACTGGTCTTGTTCCTTAACTGCATCAACCTTAATTAGATAAATTCAGTGTTGCTGTTTGAAAGCATATGGCCAGATGAAATGGAAGACTGATCTCTTATACCACTGGTTCTTAACCTTGGGTTACTCAGGAGTTTTGGACTGCAACTCCCAGAAGCCTTCACCACCAGCTGTCCTGACTGGGGTTTCTGGGAGTTGCAGTTCAAAAGCATCCGAGTAACAAAGGTTAAGAACCACTGTCTTATACTTTTACTTGTGTGAGGGAGGAAATTTCAGCAGGTGTTGCTTGTATTGAGAGTTCAACCAGTTTCCTCTGCTAAGCAAATGTACTCAGTGTGGTGTACCCAGACAGTGTGATGGAGGAGAACTCAAAAGACCTGGGTTTAAACCCCCATTTTGCCATGAAAATTCATGGGGAGGGGTTGGCATAGGTAAAGGTTTTCGAAGTACCTCATGTATTTCAAAAACCTTATTAGGATCACTTTAGGTTGGTTCTGACTTGTGGCCTTGTAGCATCCCAGCCACTGTCAAAGGTACAAGAACCCTGTCCTCCTTTTCATATAGCCACCCTTTTGGAAAATGGCTAACTAAATTTCAGATTGCTGGAATAGATTACATTTTCTCTTGTTACATTTAAAGCTCAGTCACAGACTTGTTTAGTTGCCAAAAAAATAAATCTTACTATGTCCAATGGCACATTTCCCCAAATACGGGTGCATAAAGAAGTCTATGTACCATCCATCCCTATATAGCAGTGTTTATCAACCTGGGTGTTGTGACCCCTAAGGGGGCTGCAAAGTGTTTTCTTAGGGGGCATGGGTCACCTTATATGTGTTGCAGCCCTTGTCAAATAATTTCTTCCTTGACTTTTTGGAGTGGGATATTAAAGTTAGCGTGTATGCATATATATGGGAAACAGACCCTTTGGGAGAGGAAGACGTTTCTACTTTCTAAGAAGGGATGACTTTACCTCATTAAAAATGCTTTCTTATGCAAACATGGTGGGATTCTCTCACTCTCCCCCCCCCCCCCTT